CCCGGCCCGGCCTGCCTTCCGCCGCCGCCCAGGGCCCGAGCCCGCGCGGCCTGCACCGAGCCCGGCGGCGCCGCGTAGCGCAGCGGCAGCGGGAGCGCGGGAGCCCGACGGCGCGGCCGCAAGGTCACCGCGCACCATGGAGGCCAAGGTCCGCCAGAGCCGGCGCTCGCGCGCGCAGCGGGATCGCGGCCGCCGTCGGGAGGCGGCCCGCGACGCCCGCGACCAGAGCGCGTCGTCGGGCGACGAGACCGAGCCCGGGCCTGGCAAGGAGAACGCGGGCCTGCCCCGCGCGCCCCCGCCCCGCGCCGCCTCCGTGCGCCCCCCGCGCCGCCGCCGCCGCGAGTCCAGCTCGCAGGAGGAGGAGGTCATCGACGGCTTCGCCATCGCCAGCTTCAGCACGCTCGAGGCCTTGGAGGTAGGTGGGGCGGCGGGCGGGGCGCTCCTGGGGCGGCGGCACACCCACCCCTTAGGGCTGCCCGGGCCGCGTGGGCCCCGCGCGCCGCGCGGGTCGCTGCCGGAGGGCCCGGCCGCCTGCGGGGCGGTGCCGGCGGGTGCGAGTCTTGCGCGGCCTGGGAGAAAAGTCCCTGAATTGCACTGTCCCGGCCGAATGCTGTGTGGTTGCACACACGCCTTTTTTCAGCTGCTTTCCTTTTCAAAATACCACTTTGTTCGGCTCAGGACGTGCCAGGGAGGTGAGCACTGCTGGTCGTGGTGAAGGCGGTGGTGGAGTGGAGACTTTTGAGATTCTTCCTGTTCCTCTTCTGCTCCTTGAGGTTTCTGTTTGGACGGGGCCGGGGGGATTTCCGAGACCCCCTCTCCTGACGGCTGTTCCACTGGTTAGTTAATAGGGTGGCAAAAAATACCGCTTGTCTGGCTGAGTTGTCTTGGGCAATATTTGCTGAGCAAATACCGCCCTTCTTGCGTGAACCCAGGTGAGTTGAGAAGGAAATGAGTACTGACTGTCAGAGATCTGGCAAGTGGGGTGGGTGGGGACCCACCTAGAGCTGTGTAGAAGTGCTGGCGAGATCCTACAGGCCTGCCAGCCTCAGCCAACCAGCCCCCTCCCCGCCCCTTCCCCCAGGGGCCCCATGCCCCGCTTACTAGGGGCCGCCAGCATCTGCTGGGTTTGAGGGTCCCAGACATTGCTCAGTTAACAGCCCCCCCCTTCCTGGAGCTTGAGAGCCGGTGGCCTGGGATCCCCAGTCAGAGGCTCAGCTTTGGGGAGAGGGGAAGTGCCTACATTGCAGATCCCTGCAGTGGGTCCTCTCCCTAAGGTGGGCCAGGTCTGTGGGGAGCCTCAGTGTCAGGTGCTGGCAGCCAGGGGGACGTGGCCCAGGGACAGGTCTGCTGCTTTCTGTCTGGGCATGTGGATGTGTAGAGGTGGGGCACTTACGCCAACCACACAGCTCCCTAACCCCCACTCCGGTCCTCTTTGTGTACACCTGGAGGGCGCTAGATGGCTCCCGGATCAAGGAGTCCCCAGCTAAGACACTTCGGGGGGTGGCACATGCCACAGCTCTGAACTGGGAAGGGGTGGCCAAGTTTTGCGCCGCAGCTTCAGAGAGTGGTTACTCCAGCCACCTTCCGGATGTGTACCTGCCCTGCCAGGTGGGCACAAAACAAAACCCTGACTGTGGTCTCCAAAGTGCTGCATGCTAGCCTCTCGTGCCAGCATATTGGCCCCTCTGAGGTTTTCTGCTGCCTCGCGGCCCCGGACCTGCTGTCCCCTCGGCCGAGGTTGTTTGGAGCCTTCGTGTCTCAGCACAGACATTACTCAAGCCCTCCCCAGTAACCTTCTGAAGCAGCACCCCTTCTTTCCCACCCGCACCCCGCCCATCTCCCACTTCCCTTCCTGTCAGTGACCACTCTCTGAAGCCATCTAGAGATTGGCTCTCTCCCCACCAGAACTTGGAAGCTGGAAGAGAGCAGGCACCCTGTCTGTCTTGTGTGCTCTCTGTGAGGTCCCCATGCCCCGTACATGTTTGTGGAGTGAACAGGTGGGAGGAGAAACTGCTGTTGAGGAAGGTTGTGCCAGAATTCACTGCACCCCTGCTGAAACGAGCCCGCAGCAGCCTCGGCCACACCCCTCCGTCAGTGGGGATACTCAGTGCAGCCTTGGGTATGGGGGCTTCTGCAGACTCTGAGCAGCCCCGGTCAGGCCATAGTGAGACTGAGTTTGCTGTCTTCTTGGTGTTCACCCAGCCACGTCACCATGCACCTTTTTCTGCCCTACTGAGCCAGGGAGGGACCCGCCTGCCTTGGAAAGTACGGGGCTTCTGCACAAGTCATAACTTCTGGATTGGTTCTCTTGTTTGGGCTCATTTCTTACTAAAGTGTAATGGTTTTCCCCAGAGTTCAGATAATTTGTCAGGACGCTGAATGAAGCACACAGTGAACATGGACCTGACCAGGCACGGTTCTGAGTCCTGTTGTCCTCAGACTCCGCTGTACAGATGGGGACACTGAGGCCCAGTGCCATGAACATCAAGCCTCCCCTCCCCCACCAGTGTCAGAGCTTTGCCAGGGCTGCCGTGGCACGGGAATGTAAGCTGCTGTCACCCCCGGGGCATAACACCCAAATGTCAGGTGTAGACTTGGCTCAGGAGGTTTGAGAGTGCCAGTGTCCAAGAGTCCTCCTTACCCTTGTCCTGAGGGTGCAGCCTCATGTGTGCATGCCCCAGGCAGGTCCTGACCCCACCTTTCCAGCACCTCCCTGTGCACCTGTGTTTGCCCCGAAGGGAGAACGAGTCCCCGCCTCGCGTGGCTGAGAGGATCATAGGCCACTTCTGTGAAATGCTGGGGACACACGCATGTGGCAGCGGTGATGTTGGCTGAGGAGAGGGCTCCCGGGTCTGGCCAGGTTCACAGTGTGTCCAAGGCCCTGGGCATGGAGTTGGACGGCTAGAGCTTGCTGTCTGAGCTGAGGGGGTGCAGAGGCCGTGGGCCGAGCAGGGGTTGCACATCTGAGCCCTGGTCCTCCATCAGCTTTCTGACTCTGTCCAGCAGGGTGGGAACAGTGAGCAGCTGGCAGCGGCACAGGGGTCTTATGGTGTGGTGGGGCGCCAGGGGCTGGCTCTCCTCTGCTCTCACTGACCAGGAACACTGGGGACAGGTGGATGTTTCTTGCTGTCCTGGTTCCTGTGACATCTCTGTCTCCAGAGGTGATGGCAAGGCCCTTGGGGGACAGGCCAGGGCAGAACTGAGGTCCTCCTGACCCTTCCTCCCTAATGGCAGAGGAACCTATGGCCACAGGTCAGGTTGTGTCAGCCCCTGGGTCTCCTGGGAGGTCCACTTTGCAGGCAGAGCCTGGATGAGGCCAGCAGACCTACTGTGTGCCTCCCAGCCCTTCCATCAGGGGTGCCTGCACGCCTGGGCCCCAGCACTTCGCCTTCATGCTCTGTCTGTGCGCTGCCTACCTCTCGAGAGGCACACGTGCCACGAGTACCCAGTGGAAACCACCCTTCTGGTTTGGCATCTGTGTGGTTCTTTGCTAATTTGCTTCAAAACAGCAAGACACTTTAAGCTGGCTCAAAGATCAGTATCAGTGAAAAGGTATATCCCGAAAAAATGTTCAGTTCCAGCCTTGATCTACTGCAGTAACTACTCTAGCCAGCTTCTGGCCTTTTCAGAGTATGTTCTGCAGATAGAACCACACAAGCGTATAGTCTTGTATCCTTCCTTTTTTTGCTGAAAGAAAGGGTTACATACCACCTCTGTACGTTTGTCTAGGAGGCATGTATCCAGGAGTAAAAAATGAAAAGGAAAACACCCAAAGTTTTAGCTGTGGTAACCGCTGACTTCCTGTCTGTAATTCTGTTTCCCACACCAATTACTACACGTTAACTGTAATAATTCATGAAACGGACACCTAAACCCAGACGCGACCTGCTGCACACAGTTGTGCTTGGGAAACCCTGCCCTGGCCTCCCAGTGGCCACATCAGCAGGTGAATGGCTGTGTGGGCTGGTGGTCCTGGCCTGGCTGCCCAGCTCCCAGCTTCGGGTGATGTCAGGGGCATGCTGTACATTTCTGCTGGAAATAACCAAGTTCTCCCCAATCTTAGGACGCTGGGGCTGGGGCCGTGGGCCTCGAGGCACACAGTGGAGGCTGTCTTGAGTCCTGATGGGTGGTGGCCCTGTAGGGAGGTCAGAACTCCCTCGGGCCCATGCAGGGGGCTCGGTGGTAGTGATTTCTCTGCAAGCTGGTGTTCAGTGTCCCCCCGGGCAAGGGGCACATGATCATGCTAGGTCTGGTTGCTAAGGGTCAGGAGTGTGGGGGGCCAGGAAGCGCATGGGCAGCATGGCCATGGGGGCACCCCTGTGGCAGGCCACAGCCCTCCTTCCCTCTGCCCCCACTCTGAGTTTCTAGACAGTCTCAAGTCCACAGCAGGTGCGTGCGTGTGGTAGGTCCATGTCCCAGGTGTGTGTGCACTCTGTCCTTGCTGGGGTACATGTGTAAACTCTGTGTATGTCTGTGCTCCAGACCCCATCCGGGGCAGCAGCTCTGTGGCCTGGACGGAGCAGAGGACAGGCCTACATGTGACCCGTTGGTCACACGGTGAAACACCCTGTAGCTCTAGGGTAGGGCCTCATGTCCTCTAGCCGTTGACCTGGGCACGGTCACTCCCCGACACACACACACCAGCGCAGGCAGCAAACGCTCATGAGTTCATAGAACTGGCCTCTGTCCCCAGCACCCCCTTAGCTTCTTGGACCTGTCACTGGTCTAAACTTGCAATTCAGTAACCTTGCTCTGCTGTGGCTCCCTTCATGCCCCACCGCAGCCCCTCACTCCTGTAGCTCCAGCCACATCTAGCCCCCCTCTCCAACACCCCTGTCAGAGAATCCTCAGACATGCACATGGGCACACTTCTGGCCCTTGCTAACTGCTCTGTCCCCTGCCTGGAAGATTCTTTCCCCAAGTGTCAGGATGACTCAGTGGTCACATAGCCCCCTTCCCTGGCAGGGAGCCTTCACCCCTGTGCCTGGGCCACCACTGACCCATTCCGGCTTTGTTTCTGTTCCTTGTCCCTCCCACGAGGACTCCAGCAGTGTCAGTGTCCTTGTGGACATCTCCCTACCCAGAACCTCCTTGTGCACGTGCTTGTTTCCAGGGAAAAGCTCCCAGATCTGGGACTGGGTGGCTGGTGCTCTGCGGTGGTGTGCTGTTCACTTTGATACATGGGGAGGCAGTTCTTGAGTTGTGGCACCAGGCCTCTTCCTGCTGAGGGTCTGCACCGTTGCCCACTGGTCTGCCTTATGCCTTGGTCACTCTGCTTTCTGATCGGCTGCTGCAGCGCTCATGCCTGGGCACAAGCAAATTCCCTTGTCAGTTCTGACACCTGCCCAGTGGAGTCTCCAAGGTTTCTCATTGGCCACTGTGGCGTCTGCCGAGAACATAGCGTTGTCACTGCTC